TAGCAAGGCTGTGTTTTTCACTTTAAAATTAGGTGCAGTTTATTGAAAGACTTTCACACCCCTCAATGCTAATATAAACTTTTTTTCTTGTTGTTGAAATGTGAAATGCTGACAATGGCTATTCCTATAAAAGTGTTTCCTGTGGGCATTCCTGTGGGAGAGGAATGTTTCCTAAGCACTCCTAGACTGTTTTTAAACCTTATTTAAGATTTCTCTCCAATCAAATTATTCTCTCTTTTTAATGGTGAGAGATGAACAAACATTGCTGCAAAGGCAGGGTAGGTTTTCTTGAACTGAAACTCATGCTAACAGCAAAAGATTATTTAAATGTATCTACTGGTAGACATATAGCGAAAAAGAGCCCATTCTGTCTCCTTTCTCCCTGAAGTTTGAGTAGGGATGCTGGCAAGTAAACTCAGCCCTGTGCTCCCAGCTCTGCAGAGCACAAAGTGGGTTGAATGATTTAGAGAGCACTGTTTGGGGCAGTTCCAGCTCCACCAGCAGTGCTGCTTGTTAGACTGCTCCAGAAAAGGGCCTAGGTACTGAAGGAAACATTTTGTCACCCATACTGATGGCTGGCTCTGGGTACCAATTCCCTACTCCCGAGCCAATCCAGCCAAGCTGCTTGCAGACTGTGCCATTTTATTTCTTCCCATCATGACTCCATCCTTCAAATGCCTCTCAAGGACTTTTCCATTTACATTTTCTCACAATTAATCCCGTTTTTCCTGTCTTCTCTCTTCTCTGTATGAAGATCAGTTCTGCCTATTTCCCCTTGCAGTGTGCACAGATGCGCATCTAATCTAGCACAAGTTTTATCTACGGCATGCTGGATACAATGAGTGTTTGGCTGAGGTCCTGAATTGTTTGAATTCCCCGTCTTTCTTCCTCTTAGTACAAGCTCTCTTCTCACCTCTTACACCTGATTGTATCTGCAGTGTCTCTTTCCCAAAAGTCATTCATTAACTGTAGTTGAACACATTCTCAAAGTTTCAGGAGCAATGTAAGAAGAACATTAATTAAAAAGCCTACTAGTAGAACTATATATTGAACATAAATATAATTAATCTGCGAACAGAGCTAAGTGGACTCAAGATCAGTACCTCAGACCATCAAATGATTGCCAATGGACAGGCTCCCCTCAAGAATACAGTGATAGCTGAAAATTGCCTTTGTGGCTTGCAAAGCTTCACTAGTCCTGGCTTATGGTGAAGCATTCCCTGTGTGCAGCTCACTTTGTGCTTTCAGAAACAAGCTCTTTTTGCTGTTATTGTAGTTGTAGGACTCCAGCCTTAAGTAAGAGATTCAGACTGATTTTGAGGTTTAAAAGGTTCAGTCTGGAACACTTACTTCTGTCTGTCATACATATAACAATCAATATGCACTCCTGATAGGAGGAAGGCACTGGAAGGATTGGTTTTTCTGTTACTGAAGTCTATTTCTATTTCCTATAGTGGAACTGAATTGGGATTCTTGCGTACATACTGATTTTGGTTTTGGAGTGGAGATTTGGCCCGTGATTCAGACTATCTTTAGGAAGGGTCATGTGGATAAATAAAAAATTGATGAAGGTCGCTATTAGATACTGCCTACACACAGTGCAGAAATTGTCTTGTTTGAGTCACCTGGATAATTGCCTTTGAGCTCAGGGAGAAGCAGAATGAGCTCAACAGCACACAAAAGACATCTTACAGTATGGGAGTTTCTCAATCAGGAAAGAATAGGGATTTCCTCAGGTTTTCTTTTCACTATTGGAAATGGGTGGAGTGGTTTTCATCGCTCAATATATTCAAAGTGACGAATTCCACCTCTGAAACAAAAACTGATCTGAGGTAGCATCAGGATTGGTCTCTGAGTGTGGGGCAGATGGAACAGCCAGACATGAACAGTGCAGGACTGGCTTGTCCCTTTCGCAGGGAGGGAAATGTTCACCAAATATACACATACTTGAATATTCAATTTAATTTTTCAGATTTTACTTCTCTCTTCATCTCAACCTTTTCAGGAAATTGAGCTGTTTATTCAAAACATGTAGAATAATGCCCTCACACATTTCTCCTCCCCACACACTTTGGGGAAAAAAGAAAAAAAAAAAAGACATTCAAGTAAAACTTTCCCAAATGAGCTTTGTGACTAGGGGAAAAAATGTAATTACTTTTTTCAAGGAAAATAGACATTTTCCTCTAATTAAAAATCCAATTTTCCACTGGGGGAAAAAAGAAAAGTCAAGTTCAACATCTATGGACCCAGTATGTGCTTGAAGTGCATGGAGAAAATTGCACAGATGGCAGTTCTGTGAATGAGAAAGTGGAGACAGCTAGAAAGGTCAAAATGTTTGTAGGCAGCATATGCACGGACTGCTTTTTAACATCCCTTGGAGATATAATTTTTTAGCTTTTTCCTCCTTTTACTGTGGAATTTCCCCCCTTTCCTTTTCTACCTCTGTTTAGATAATTTAGAAAAAAAAGTGGAAAAAAAAAAAAACAATGCAGGGAGGTGAAGTCCAAAGAAAGCTTAATTATCTTTGAACCACAGGCATTTTGAAGCAGCTCCTTATATCTTGTATCTTGAAACTGTCAGAAAGATTTCTCTGCCATGCAGTTACATACAGCGCCCATCTGTAGCTCTGATAATCCAGTATGCTGCTGTAATAGTTTGCCTGATGGGCTGTGAAGTTCCAGGTGATTTAAAGGTGCAACTTTGGCTCTGAAATTTCAGAATACAGATGAATAGCCAGGTTAAGAAGGAAATTGATCACGAGATCTAGTGAAAACCATGGTTTTCCTCCAGCTGAGAACCTCATTTTAAAGGGAAGAATCAAGGTTGTGCTCTTCTCACACAAAGGAAGTTCTGTAGCTTTTGCAGTGGTTGTCCCCTTTCAGGGTGGATTTTTCTTTTTTTTTGCTGCTCTGAAGGCATATTTCATGGGACACTTCACAGAATCAATGCAGCTCATCAGCAAATGGGTGCTATGTGCAATAGGCCTGTAAGAGACGGGCATTTGTTTTCCCTGCACACCAGGGGCTTTCAAACTCTCACCAGTGCTGAATAGGCCATCTTTCTGCAGATCAAGAGAGGCTTTTGCACAACCTGAATTGTGGACTCCAAATCAGAATTATTCTATAGATGCAATTAGTGCTTATCTCCAATGAAATTTCTGGTAGAGGAGTTTTTGACTCTGATGTTGACAGGCCACAACTGATTAATAAGCATCAGGCTCTGAAGTTCAGAGATAAAGCACCATCACAAGGCTTAAATTATCCTCCATTCCATTTATTTTTCCTAGAGATCTGAATGTAAATGAGTCTTTTATAAAAGCCTTGAGAAATGCAGCACTTTAGTGTTTGTAGATTATGTTTGTCTAAAGCTCCACAGTGTAGACTTTCCTTTACAAAATAAAGAGCTACCCATTTTATTACCATTAGCATGTGGAACCTTGTGCATAAAACCAGTGCATAAGCTCAGGCGATGCATGTAAATCTGTGCCTTGCATTTTGGCAGAGTTTTGCTTTTTCTTATGGAGTTGGCTTCAGGCATTCCAGTACAGTGGATCTGTACCTTGCAGTTTTGAGAGGGATGAATCCTGAACAGATTTTCTTGCAAGAACAATGGTGCGAAGAGTTGCACTGCTGCATGGACAGGCTGCACGTGCCTCAGTGGCCAGTGATTACAGCCCAGCTTGCTATCATCCAAAGGATGATCCATAAGTGGATCTCTTTTTGGGCTTTGTTACCTGGATTACAAGTATGTTTTTATTATTACTGTAGTGGAAATGCTAAGTCACAGCCTGAACCAGTGATTGAGCACATAGTAGGAAGGCAGGGCCAACCCAGGGGAACTCAGGTGCATGCAATGTACCTGAGTGACTGGAAGGGCTGGAGCCAGTATCCACCCCTTCCCAGATGTCATATAAAGGTTGGCAGTGGGGGCTAAGGTACCTTGCTGGAGATCTCTGCCTACTGGAGCCTTTCCAAAGGTGAGTGGTTTGTCTTCTTTTGTCTGTGTGTCTGGTGCATTTGGGCTTGTTCTCATTTGCTGCAGCATAGGATTGTGCTGCTTTGCTATTATTGCAGTACTGCTTTGCATTCAGCGTTACAATTATTAACACAGCTCTGTATCTGTACTTTCTTTCCAGCTATCTATTTTCATTGCTTTAAGTGTGTGATAAGGGTGGGCTGAGTAAATTGGTCTCTTCATGCATATATGAACACTGTATGGATCTCTCTCTCTGTCTTGCCTGCTTTCATTGCCAGCTGTCTGTAGACCTTCTCAATAAACTTTGTTTTGCTGTATTTATTTCTTATGATGTTTCATTAATTAGGAGTATGCTATCACTCAGCACCTCTAAGAGCTACTGTAATACATTTATCATTTAAAACAAAAACAAAAAACTGACCTACAAATGGTCCCAGGCTGGAATTTTAAGCTTATGTGGTTTTCAGTCATCTAGAGAAGTGACTGTGTTCTTCTGTTACCCCAGATCCTGAGTCAGATCTGTTTAAGTCTATTGCGTGTGACAACTATTTTTCAGTTTCCGGTTGTCCAGGAGGAACTTCCACAGGCACCAACTAAATCACGCTCTCACTGGCACCATTATTTTGTGCAGGGAAATTATATACTGTTCCATTAGTTTACATTGTTCCTTCTCTGGGAGGATTCACTTACATCTTATTACTGGCATAGCTGTTTGTTACTGACTTCTCTTAAATGTAGACAGTGGTGCCTTTCTTTTAAGAAAACCAGACCCCGGCTGATTCCAGGTAGTACGGAGTTAAGAGACTGCGTCCTCAATCAGTGAACGCATCTATTCACACTAACTGTGTGATCTGGTCTTGGTGAGGTTTAAATAGTTTTTTCTAAACAGCTTATTAAAGATTAAATGGCTAGATAGTAATAAGCTAAGGACAGAAGTCTGGGTATCTCTGATCTTTAGCCTTCTGTTTTTGTTACTTTGCGAGATAGCTTGCCTTAAAAAAAGGATAATATTGCTTTGTCTGCAGGTCAACTACCAGAGGTGGGGATTTCAGACAACATCTTTTAATGTAGCTGTGAATAGAAAGAAAAGAGGAGAAATTCTGAACCCATCTCTAGGTATGCAACCCAAGTTTGTAGCTGACTGACTGTAGCATGCAGTCCTGCGTAAGTGTATTCAATAACATGTGTGTTCTATCAGGATTGTACAATTGGTTTTCATCATGGTTTTATTTTATTTAATGAAAGTTAATATGATATATAGCAATTGTTTGTGTAGTTATGAGTCTTGTTGATGTAACTATGCAATCATGAACCCACTCCTAGCACATGGTTTTAATTTTTCTTTGTTACTTTAATGATTTGACACTCTTAGCTAAATAAAGTATTTTTTGAGAATTGATTAATGAACATTCCCTGATTTATAATGAGGCTGATTTATAGAGCGTTAATGAAGAATACTGAAGTTTACCCTAAGATGACTTTTGGTAGCTTACTAATGTGGTAGATGCTAAAAGATAGTGAAAATATTAAAATGAAAAAGGCAAGGCAAAATTCCAGATTTGTTCCTCAGGAATCCAGTAGTGGGAAAATGTATTCTAACACTTATGCAGCCCTGACTTTCAGATGACTACAACAGGTCTGAGTCATCTGCTGTGGAAATAGTAGTTTGTTATTTTAATACTAGTGTTCTAGTGGTGCCTTATAACATAGGTGGAAGCAAACTAAACTTGGTGATCTTATGAACTGACACCTTTATAAACTGACTGTGTTGATGTCTTCGTGTGTGCCTTCCTGCAGATAGAGGGCATTGAGCAAAATGAGACACCTCATGGTCTTTAGAAAATCACTGCATCCAGCATCTGGCACAGCAGCAAGACAAGTGCTATTCTAATAGCTTTCTGGCATGCTTCCTCTATAGACATGACGTTTGTGGAAATACAATTACTTTCCATAAAAGAGAATTACAACAGAATGTGATAAGAAACCATCCGTTAACATGGATAAAGAAAAATGCTAAGAGGCTGAATAATAACCATACTAACATCAATTACATGATAGCTCTTACTGCAGTTTTGCTACTTGAGGGCCCCATTGATTTAATTCTGTTAAAATCCACAAATTTCATCCTTTTCTTCCTGCAATGATCAAAGCTTTTTAAATTTCTATATGTGGTCCATAACATGGAGCTTTTTCTGTGCACCTGTGTCCCAGTGTGCCTTCACCCTGACTTGGGAGAAGCACCCCAGTCTTAGTCCAGTATTATGCACAGCAAGGTGGAATTGCTGTTCATGACTAGGATTTCTGGGTGTTTGTACCTGTCTGCTATACTCCAGGCTGCCAGCTGTAGCTCAGTTAGCATGAGCTACTCAATGGCTGCCATGTGGTCACAGCTCTGTCCCTGTCACCTGAGTCAGGTTTGGATCAGTGACACACAGTGGGAAAGTAATGCAGGCCACAGCCTGCTGCTTAGCTAAACAGCCTTTCTGCTTTGTAAGGGATGACTTCACAGGCTCCTATTGACTCCCTTATGTCATCTCTTGCTGGAAGATTCTGAGAAATATGGATCTATCCACCACATCTTGCATCCCAAAACCAAAATTGCTAAATGGAATGTTTACTTGCATAGAGAAAGCAATACCAGCTTACGAAAAGCAGTAGTATTGAAAGAAATAATAGTAGTAAGTAGGAAAAAAAGCACCTCCGCTTACACTGCACTACAGATCTCTCTATGTCCACTTATTTACTTGCTCTGTGCCTCACTGTGCCTCAGTTTCCTGTCTATTAAATATTTAGAGTAAGGTCTCTTGCAATATCTGCTTATTTTGGGTGCTTCTGAACAAGCTGTGCGTTATGAGATTGTAGGAGTGTTGGAGTAGAAGGAATGGGCTTTTGCTGGCTATAGCGTGCAGCTGAAACCTGTGCTCATGTTAACCAGCTCCCTGCTTATGGGCAAGCTACATGCAGATGCAGAACTATGCAGCAGTGCACCTGGGCATAGCTCTCGTGCTGGTATTGAGAAGGGATTTGTAGCAATGCCTGTTGGAACAAGGATTGCAGTTGTGAGCATTGCACAACACCTTCTTTTTCATCTTCAATTTCAAAACCTTGCTATAAGGGGCTATTGTCCCATTGTGCACACTGCATTGCTCTCTCTGGCACTAAATTCTCTGAGCTGCAGTGGAATAACAGACTCCTGTGTATGTGTTCTGCTTTAGTCCCTGTTCAGTATTTAAAATGCAGCCTGGAAATAAGCCAAAAAAAAAAAAAAAAGTGAATCTGAATGAATTATTTATTTATTTATTTATTTTATTAAACCAGCTTCCCAAAAGAGTTACTTGCTTATACTTGGGATTCATTGCTCGTATCTGAAGTGATGTATTTGGCGTAATTGGCATAGGGATGCATGGTTAGAGAACTTGTGAACAGTGCAATGCTAAGACAAGAGATACAGGGTGCTAACAGATTTCAAGAATAATGCATGGGAGCACAGGATACAGCTTGACCTAATTTTCATAAGCTTTACTCTTTGCAAACCAGAACAAAGGACATCACTATTAGTTTATTTTCTAGGGTGGTTAAAATAAATAAATAAATGCATGAGACATTCAATCTGAAATGAAAACCAGGAGAAAATGTTTGAAAGTCTGACAGTGGGATACTGGAAGCAAAGAGAAAGGTGTTACATACAACTAATAATATAAATAACGAGAAACATACTGAAACTAAAATGGAGCTATACAGTATTCTCCATTTTACTAGTAAGAACAGTTCCAGTTGATGGTAAGGATCACACTGTATCACACTGAAGTTACTTTTGTTCGCTGTTTGATAACTATGTAGCAACAAATAACATGGTAGTGGAATTAATGAAATAACATGTCAATGACCCTTCAAGAGGTCACCATACAGTCACTGGAAACATTGGGCTTTTTCTCACTTTCTTGGAAGAGAAATTTTAGAAGGTTCTTGGTATTTCTGTCAGAAGGTGTACTGAGGATGGTGTCTGTTGTCTCCAAGGCCTGAGCTCCTTTAGGAATAGAAACAGGGCATCTGTTAGCTAGTGCCAGGCTTGCTGCTTCACTGTAAGTACAAAAGGTGATTACAGCACTCACTGCAAAAAAGTGCCAGAGTTGCATAATGATTTTTTGCACGAAGAAAATAAAATCATGGTGACCTAAAATGGCATGGGAATTATCAGAAATAATCTGATATCAACTTTTGTTGTTATTTGTGTGAATGGAGTTAGGATACCAAGAGGACAATGACAGCAAAAAAGTAGATTCTGTTTTTAATGCTGCAGGACAAATCAGGTTGGTTGAAGATAATTGAAATCGCTGAGACTTTATTGGTTTACTCTGCAGGACCTTGACCTGCTGCCATATCAGTCATAGACTCAGCTGTATGAAAGTATTTAAACATGGATGCAGTTACTTGCATATGAATTTTATTGTAAGAGGCGATGACTTATAACACTAAGCTTGAGGCCACATGAAATCTCAAAAATGTTTTTATCAAAATCGTTACTTTTATTTAAGCTTTTGGGCTATACCTCTTGAGCTCCTCCGACAGAAGTGTGTCCACGGCAAACCTGCCTGGTACAAGCTTTAAGATAATGTTTAAGTGCAGCAGAGCAAAACCAATAAAGCTGGGAATAGAATGTGCTGGAGGCAGTCTATAGTAGCTGTCTCCGCCAAACTGTTTTGAGCAATCTCCACCCCAGCATTTATGACCAGAAATGTGAGCTACCATGGAGGAGGCGTTGGTGGGGTGAGGCACCTAGCCACCACAAACTTCCTCTCCTGTTTTACATAGCAGTAAAGGTGCAGTGGGGGATTTCTAGGGGGTCTTGATCAGCATGGCTCCCATCCTGAGAAAAAGTGGCTGCATGAGAAGTGTGATCCAGAATTATGACCTTCAAAGGGGAGAACCAGGTTAAGTATTAGGAAAAGATTCTGCCCCAAAGGGTGGTGGGCATGGAATGGGCTGTCCAGGGCAGTGGGCATGGCTCCAGTGCCAGAGCTCAGGGAGTGTTTGGTCACTGCTCTCAGACACTGGGTTAGGATGGTGCTGTGCAGAGCTGGGAGTTGGACTCAGTGATCTTGTAGGTCATTTCCAACTTGGGATATTCTGTGATTCTGTAATTCTAAAGCGGAGGAGGAGAAGAAAAAGGATTGGCAAACTTCAATGTGAACTGAGGGAGCGTTAGGAGAGGAAAAAAAATAGAGAGACCTCCATCATCTATTAAGTCCATTACAAAGGTCTAGTGACAGCTGCTGTCTCACCGCTGGGTGTTTCAGAGATACTGTCTGGTTCAGAGCTGGCCTTTGCCTGCTGCCATGTTGCCAGTACTGCAAATAACATCTGTCCTTCTGTCTATATGTGTATATGTGAATACGTATAAGCAAAATCAACTTTGTTGTCTTGCCTTCTTTACAAATAGGGGAAGATGGATGAGAAACAGCTCTAGAGGTGCTGCTTCTCTGTAGAGATAGTGGTGCTGTGTGCACAGATAGGAAGAGGAGGGAAAGGTGCAAGCATCACCAAGCAAGCATGATGATTATTACTGCTTTGTTGTTCTTGAGTAGGAACTGCAAAATGTTCTTGTGCGGTTCTGTTGGTGCTTGAACAAGCAAGGAATATTTGGTGCTCCAGTTTGCTGACAGAAAAATTGTGATGATGTATTGAACGCACAAAGGTCATAGTGCTGTGCTGAACAAAAGCCTGTTCTTCATGCTAGCATCTGTACCATACCACTGCATGTTGCTTCCTACAGAAGTGCAGATGTGATTTTTGAGTGAGCTGGGTTGTTACATTCCAGGATGCATTATGTATATGGCTAACGTAAAGAGACCTGATGTTTTGCTCTTGGGGAAATGCTTTTCCATGGCTATTGGCATGGAGCAATGAAGACATCCGGTGGCTGGTTGTGTTAATGGCAGGTGAGTGCATGTTCCTCTCAGGGAGCTTTGCTGAGGTTTTATATAGCCAAAGCTGCCATGACAGATCTTGTTAAAGTTTCAAGTTGCAGCCACCCACCAGGGCTGGAGGCATGTGCCTCCCATGTACAATGCTGCATCCAGGGCTGAGGGGCTGAGTTACCATCTGCTTCTCTCTCC